GCGCTGGCAGCTATGGATCCGTTCGCCCGCCAATTCATTCGGCGCACGGATCCATAGCTGCCAGCGCTGCATACTGTCGTAGGACGTTCCCGCGGTCGCGTGCGCCTTGCCGCGGAACTGCGCGAAAGATCTGCGCTTCAGCGCAATTGGGATCAACATCTCCTTTCGGCAACGCTTCTCTAGTATCCCGTCTCATCTGGTTGTTGAAACTGTCATTGACAGGTCAATATGTTTGGATTTCTTATTTAAAGTAAATTTCCTCTTAACAACAATGAATATTTCAATATACATGTATAGATTTATGATATTTATAAGTTATTCTGTTTGATTGCCATGATTAATTTTTTTTAGAAAGGAGTAGTGTTGGAAAAAGTGAACCAAAGCCTAAGACACCTTGGTGGTAGAGTAATTCCTGCTGCTGCCTTATCTGAAGAATGTGTGCCACAGTCACCATGCCAGCTTTCTAGTGCAGGTTTGTATGTGTATTTCAAAATACGACGAAGCTACGATGGGGGCAGATCCAGTGGTGGCTGCCTAAGGGGTACAGGAGCCTCTGTTGGTGAACGAAGCCTGATATTTGCTATTATGACAAAAAATGGTCTCAGTTTAAGGCTGCTCCAAGTCCACAAACGACTTGAAAAGATCATTTGGGAAAACTGTGAAACCGTGTCGTATTCAAAGAACTTTTTTGAAAAACACACACGATTTTCAGGTAAATTGGTGGTGTCATATGATTAAGGGAGAATCATAGACGAAAACAAGGTAAAGTTTGAATATATTTATTCACATATTGATCGAATATTTACAAGTTGAAAACTATGCAAAACGCTGTTAAAACGGTGTCATACTCTTCTCTATTATGAGCTCTTGGTAATATCTACGTATACATAGCCAGAGCCACGGTATATATCGCCTTTATATACGGATCTGTACATAGCTGCCCATGGGCGCCATCTATCAAATAAAATGGGTAATGAAATTTCCACTGAAAATCACCTACCACCCCTGGCAGTATCCTTTACAGACATCATATGCATATATGTGATACCATATATCTTAATGATTTGTGTGATTTTTGCATAACTTGAAGTTGAAGGCGATAGGATTTGATGTGCATTATTACAGCTCTCGACACTAACGGTTGTCTGATTGCCCTGGACAAGTGAAAGTATGTCGGAAAAGTTATTCTCTTGCCTAGTAAGTTGCCCGATCGGACAACTGAAAAATTCTAGTTGTTTAATATTCCTGACATCCTTTGAGCCAGGGCGCTATCGCACCACGTTCTCACGTCAAACGTTTTCAAAGGTGGCTGAAAAAAGCAGCCCGCGACACCCACTGTTACCATTTACAGATTTATTCAGAGCGGCAGCACGTATCTCCCTGGCCGGGGCGCGAAATTTTTTTTCCCACGAGAGTTCCGGACCCCAGCCAATCAGCGCACTCCATTCACTCGACTTCCTCAAAGCAACAATGTAAAAATTTATACAACCTTACCCTAACCCTAACACTAACTATAATTCAACCAGGTCTGTCTTATATACGCACCATATATTACAAAACACTATCTGTGGTGGGTCCGGAACTCTCGTGGGAAAAAAAATTTCGCGGCCGGGGCGGCATTGATTGATGTACTGGAGGGGGGGGGTACGATTGTTTATAAGTAAGCTTGGGGCATGTTCATTACTGATTATGTAGGGGTGGGCATCGCTGGGATGAGAGGACGATAGCAAAACTTTCCTGGGATTGAGGAAAAAGCTGCAATCGGGAATGACACAATGATCGTGCCAGCACGCAAACATAAACGTGTGAATTTTATTATGATTTTACATGTACTGTATTTACTCGTGTATAAGTATTATTCATACATGTATAAATCACACCCCATATTTTGCCTTGATAAGTTGGTACAAACATTGGTACATTAACAAGATTTCTTAGCCTTGTCTATAAGTCGCACCCCTGATTTTTTTATTGAAGTTGTGTACAAAAAGTACTGTTTATACACGAGTAAATACGGTATATACTGTAATACACGCACGCACGCACGCACGCACGCACGCACGCGCGCGCAGACACATGCCTAGGTATGTGCGAGCCTATATGCACGCACGGAATACTGGTGAAAATATCAGGAGTGTATA